GCAGCTCCCCGAGCCGCCAGCTCCGGGGCCGGGAGCTGTTCCCATCCCGCAGCGTGGGTTCTCGCATGGGGATGGGGAGGAGCTGCACCCAGCACAGCTCTCGGGGAGCTCTTACAAGAGGCCTTCTCTAAATGCAGCTGCCGCGGCTTGGGGAGAAGGGGAAATCAAGCCAGAAATGGAAAGCTAAACAGCAAAACCCTGGATCGTTTACCTTCCAGCCCGTGGAAGTCTGACACAGCCAGTCTCCGGTGAAAGCGGAGGAGAACATTGTCACCGTGTCCAAGACCAGGTGGAAGTGGTTCTCGGCAGCACGGGACACAACAGAAATCATGCCCTGCAGCCGCAGAGAAACGAGGAGTCAGCTCCAGCCCAGGCACTCCGCTGTGGCCAGCGACAACGGCCAGGTAGGACGTTGCAGCAAGGGCGAAACGGCAGCAACGGGGAAGTCAAGGAGGCCTGGAGCAGGGCCAGGAGCAGCAGGGGATGCTCAGGACATGGACATCGCCTCACCTGGGCCTCAGGCAGCTCCATAGGGTTCGCCTCCTGAAGGAACCTCAGCACCTCCCCACGGACGTGTCCGAGGTCCCGACAAGCCGCCAGCGCTGTCCCGAGAGCCTGGTAGAGGAACAGCTGAAAGGGAAGAGGCCGAGCCTGAGCTGCAGTCATGGCCCGACCCGTCACGAGAGGGCTGGCCCCAGAAGGGCCTGACTGGCCCTGGGAGCGGGCGAAGCCAGCCATCACGCCGGGCTGTAGCCAGCCGCTGGGGCACGCCTGGGGTTGGGGAGGGGGAACGGCACGCAGTGGAAACCCCCTGTGTGGGCAGAGCATGGGCACCAGCCCCGGCGCGGGGCAGGGGACATACCTTCTCCCAGGAGCCGGGGACAGAGCTGCCCAGCTGCTGGCTCAGCTCCTGGCTCAGCCCCACGGTCCAGGCCCCGTCTTCGATGGGCTCCAGCGACGCTCGCAGGAACTGTGGGGAACAGGAGAGGACGCGAGTGTTCTCCTGGCCCTGGCCGGGGCCCTTTCCACGCCCCTGTGTCCCGGGACACTGCGCAGGGACAGCTGCCGGGAACGGCAGTCTCTTCCCCCACCCCAGCCAACCCTCTTTTCACCAGCCTCCCTCCTCTCCCAACACCCCCGGCACGCCGGACACCGAGGAGGCGGCCGTGGCCAAGGTGTGTGCTGCAGCGTCCCAGGGCACTGGCCATCAGCTGTGGCGTGTGTGCAGACAGCAGCTCCTCCGAGCGGGCAGGCACTACTGCGGGGGTGCCACGGGGCGTTCTGCAGGTGCCCCCACCGCCCGGTGCCGGCACAGGCAGCCCCGAGCTTCCTCCCACAGCTCAGCGCGCTCCCTCTTCTCCCCCAGGGATGCTGTACCTTCAGCATACGCTCCTCCCAGTCTGCAGAGTCCAGGGAGACCTCGGTTGTTCCTGGAAAGCAGAAGGAAGCAAAACCCTTGCTGCTATTGAAGCTCACAGCCAAGAAGAGCCCAGTAGTCTCCTCTGCGGTCACACGTCCCAAAAGTCCCAGGCCATCAGGCTGGAGAGGGCCTGCGAGCACCTACACCACAGCCCTTGGGAGGCCACAGACACAGGAGGGATCCCAGGGGCATTTGTCAGAGCCACTGAGTCAAGCTGGGGAAGGACGCGCAGACCGCGGCTGATCCCCACTGCCTGACTGCAGCTCCCAGAACAACTTGGACCACTGAGTGCCAGCACACACCGGCAACACCCGTTTTCTCCTGAATCACCCACCACTTTCTGCCCATTTCATAGAATCATAAAATCATAGAATCAAGAAAGTTGGGAAAGACCTCTCAGATCAGCAAGTCCAACCCTCACGCCAACACCACCACGCCTGCTCAGCCATGTCCTGAAGTGCCACATCTACCCGTTTTTTGAGCACCTCCAGGGATGGTGACTCCACCACTTCCCTGGGCAGCCTGTTCCAATGCTTCACCAGTCTTTCAGTAAGGAAATTTTTCCTAATAGCCAAACTAAACCTCCCCTGACGCAACCTGAGCCCGTCTGTGGCCCTGGGAACTTGGCCCTCCGAAGCCTGGGAGCTGCAGCCCCTCCAGCAGTACCAGTCCAATCCTTGCCCTGAACCCCCACCAGGACACGGGGGTGCCACCGTGACCTGCTGTCCTAGGGGACACCAACGGCCCCGTCCATCCACTGGGCCATGGCTGCCCCCAGCCTCAGCACTGGCTCCCTGGAAGGCCAAAGGCTGCGGAGCAAGCGCTGAGGAACTGGGCCCCATTCCCCCCCATCACGCTGGGACGCTGCATTTCCCTGCCCCTCGTCCCTCCCTCCCCACCCGCACTTCACCTTCCA